GAGGCAGATCAGTCGCCGGCTTCTGGACGGCCGCTCACGGCGGCTGCTGGCCGCTCACTCTGGCTGCTGGCTACACACGGTAGCCCATGGCAACCCACTGCCACAGGGGCTGCAGCCTACGCCGTCACCGGCAAATCACGGCAGCCCAGCTCCAGGTTGAGCTGTTTAACTTCTTATTTTGAAATGATTTCAAACTTACAGAAAAGCAACAAGGATAACGCCGAGAAATCCTAACTATCCCGCACTGCGATTTGCACATTAACATCCTGCCACGTTTTCTTTAATGTCCTTTCTCTACGCAGAGTTAGTGTTTTACTGACACGTTTATCAATGGCAGATATTTGGCTCCATCATCTCTAAATACTTCAGTCTGCAGTTCCTAAGAATAAGGATGTCCTCTTACATAATGACAATTATCAAAATTATCATCGAATTGGATGATTATCGAAATCAGGAAATTTTACTTTGGTATGACACTATTACCTCATCTACAGTCCATGTTCAAAGCTCTCCGCTTGCCCCAATAGCATCTGTGATTTTCCTTTCCTGGCCCAAGACCCAAAGTAGGCTGTGGGTGGCCTTTAGCTGTCATGTCGCTTCAGCTGCCTTTACTCTGGGAGGTTTCCTCGCCTTTCCTTGTCGTTCACGATGCTGACATTTTTGAGGGGCACAGGCCAGTGGTTCTGTGACTGTTCCTGTGGGTTTGTCTAATATTTCCTCTGACTAGATTCAGGTTATCCAGTTGTTTGCAGAAATACTGCCTGAGGGCCGCCTTGACAAGAAGTGGCTGGGGCCTGTTGCCGCGGCGTGTTGAACCCCGGTCTGGTCGGCTGGAAGGAAACTCTCACCCAAGATGCCGAGTTTGCCACGTCTGGTGCCTTCTTGGGTTCTTTTAATTCTTGGAATTTTGGATTCTCTCTCCCCCAAGTAATTTCAGTTGGGTTGCAGAACTTGTAGCGAGTGCTTTCTTCTTCATCAGCGAGTCTGCTTTTCCACCTGTGCTTTGTTTGGACTCACCTCTGGGCAGCTCTCCAGGCTGTGCCACAGCTCGGCTGTTCTCGCCCCTGTCGTGGCGATTACATGGAGGATGGGATGTGGGAGGAAGACTGTGTGCCAGGCCGTGCGCGTGTCCCGATTTCCCTCCTCCTGCCTCTCCCCGTCCAGGGCTGGACTGCTTTTCCTCAGGGACCCAGAAATGACGGGCCGCTTTCTTTACTTTTCTCTGAGCACCACTGTAGCAGCTAACCGTCCTCCACCATCTTCCTGCAGAAAACCTAGAAAAGCCGGGCTGGGGGTGGGCGGTGGGTTACAGTCCTTTGGGTAGAGAAGGCTGTGAAGGGCTTTCAAGTAAACTAACAAAAGGGAGTCTTGTAGGAAGGCTGAGGCGGGGGGCAGAATTCTGATATTGTTCGTATGATATTTCTTCTTATTTCCTTTTTCATCCTGTTACTTCCAACCTGTTTTTGCCTTTGCATTTAAAGTGTGTCTCCCGGAGGCAGCATATCACTGGGGCTTCCTTTTACATTCCATCTGACAATCTCTGGTTTTTAGTTGAAGTATTTACTCCATTTATATTTAATGTAATTATTGATATAGTTGTGTTTAAGTCTGTCATCTCGCTATTTGTCTTCTATTTACCCTTTCTGTTTTCTCTTCCTCTGTTATTTCTTGCCTGCCTTTTTAAAGTTAATCTACTGCTTAGTGCTCTGTTTTATTTCCTTGATTGACTTCTTAGCCTTAAGTCTTTTTATTACTTTTTTAATGTTTTTCTCCTAGGGCTAACACTATGCTATAGTTTACATTCATGAGTGTTATCCTGTGCTTATTTTTCCCTTTCTGGGGAAAGGAGTTGTGCCTCAGACTCCTCTCATACCCTTCATTATTCATTCATGTCAGGTCGTGTCATTCATTCATTTATTCATTCATTCAACAAGTTAGTACTAAACATTTATGAACAAGGGACTGTCTAGGTACTGGAAATACAGCTGTGAACAAGAGAGTCATGAAGCTCACAGTCCTTTCGGGAAACAGCTGAGTGAGTAGGAAAGTTTCCCCAGAAGAAGAAATGTCTAAATAGAGCCTTAAGAGTGTTGAGCAGGGGTCAGTCAAGTGAAGGGGGAGATGCTGGTTTGTCCCAGGCTGTGGCCGTGATGAGCGCCAAGACCCAGAGGCAGGGGTCACTGGCAGTTTGTTCAGGGAGCCATGAGGCACTTGCCATGGTGGGAGTGCAGTGTTAGGTGGCACGAATGGAGGGTGGAGAGTGGCGCGCAGCACAGGCGGGCAGGACATTTATGGAGCTCCTGCTTGGTAACTTCTCTTCTGGTCATTGAATTAAGAACCCAGAGCTGGGTCCAAGGTATTCGTATCACTTATATTCATTAATTTAATGCGTGAAGATATTTTGAACAGGAGTATAGCCTATAAAACACGTGCCACCTCCAGCTGTCCATAATGCCTTGGTTTCTACTTTGGGAGGTTTGATTTTGTTTTTTTTTTTTTTTGGTTTTTTTTTTTTAGCTGAGCCATCCTGCCACCTGTTGGCAGCTCAGCTCTGGCTGGGAATCGAGCCACTAGGTGCTCAGAGCTTGCACTCTTGAACGAGCTCTTAACCAACTGACCACTCGGCCGGCCCTGAGGTTTGCTTTTTTGAAGTGAAGATGTTGGTAAACGGGTGGTTAGTAAATGGGTGGTTGGACTGTGGACTGGACGGGCACTTCAGAAAGTGTCCTTTCCACCTGGATTGTGGGTTTTCCTCAGGGGCAGTGGTCCCAGCAGTGGGGGGATGTGAGCTGTTCAGATGTGCCTGGTCCTCAGGGGTGGCCGTGTTGAAGATCTCTGACCTGTGAATGTGGGGACAGGGGAAAGTGTGTACATAAGCTCCTAGGTATCTGAGAGAACTGGGAAGAAAAAGGGGGTTGTGTGTGACAAACTTCTCTCTGGGTCACACTAAAACAGCAAACCTACCTTCTTGGGGGCTCTTTGGACATGGACTCAAGTTGGACATGCCTGGACTGGCTCCCAACAGAAAACCCACAATAGACTTTTCTGTTCCTGGTCAACCCGAAATGGGAAAGAAGGGGAATGGAATGTCCTTGCTAATAAGGAGGGATCTGAAGGGGCTTCTGGCCACACTCCCCATAAATGTGGAAGGCTAATTGGTGAGACTAGGTCTAAGGGGTCAGAGCAAGGGAGCTGGTCGGGGTGGAATAGAGGCTGCCTGGTCCCATTCCAGAGTGTCCTTATTGCTCAGTGAGCCTTCCTCTCTCCCTGTGCTGCAGAGTGAAAGCGTTCCTAGGCCAACAGCCCAGGGCTCCAGGCTGCCATCAGAATGGTGGGTGAAGGCCCCTACCTTATCTCAGATCTGGACCGGCGAGGCCGGCGGAGATCCTTTGTAGAGAGATATGACCCCAGCCTGAAAACCATGATCCCTGTGAGGCCCTATGCAAGGTAAGCCAGGAGGAGGATTGCAGGGAAGGCCAGGTCAGAACCTCCAAGAACAGTCTCCAGCTTATCAAGAGAGTGGGCACTGCCCCTGCTCCCTGCCCCGTGCTGCTGTTCTACATGCTTTTTGTCCTTTGTCTATCCATCTATTCATTCATCCATCCATCCATCCATCCATCCATCCATCCATCCATCCATCCATCCCTCCTTCCTTCCATCCCTCCTTCCATCTATCCATCCATCCATCCATCCCTCCATCCCTCCATCCCTCCATCCCTCCATCCATTCATTCATCTATCCATCATCCATCCCTTTTTCAACCACTCATTCCTTGACCCCTCCTGTTCTTTGGTGAGAGGCAGACAATAGCTTATGTCTAAGGAGATGCACAGCAGCACCCTATTATATGCGGTGTTGGCACCACACAGACACAATAGACCTACGTAATCTAAAGAGCATAGGTACTAGTAACTCTAGTAAAATAATTAGGAAGCGATGAGTTTCAAGCACTTATTGCCTTTGTCTTTAAGATAATTTATTTTAATTTACGTAACTTAATTTTTACTATTGTCTATGTTTAACAACTGACTCGCAAAACTCCTGAACATTTAAGTCAGCTCTCACAAGCTGTATGAGCTTGTCCCAGCACACCATTGCTCAAAGGGCTGATGGGTGCGAGTCACAGGTTCTGAGCGTGACTGTGGCTATTACTGTTGTTAAGGACTCAAGCTGGGGACTGGGCGCAAATGACCCCAATGTCCTGGAACACTGAGCGTTTTGTTTGTCTTAGGTTGGCACCCAACCCCATGGACGACGCGGGGCTGCTCTCCTTCGCCACATTTTCCTGGCTCACGCCCGTGATGGTTCAAAGCTACAGGCACACACTGACTGTGGACACCCTGCCCCCATTGTCGCCTTATGACTCATCCAACACCAATGCCAAACGGTATCAGGATTCGCCTGGGTCACCTGGGGACAGGGGCGCCCCGGGAAGGGCCCTTTTGTGCACTGCCATTTCCTGGGTGTGGAAATCCACACCCGTGCACTGAACTTGTGGTTCTGATGGAGTCCAATGTCTGAAACAGCGGGAAACTACTTGAAGCCCCCTCTCTGCATCTACTTCTTCTGGAAGTCTCCGTACCTTTGGCCACGTGGGGTAAAGCGCACAGCACAGCCTGGGGCATGTGCTTCAAGGGTGGGGAGTGGCTTTAATCAAGGTCTTGCAATTGCTTCTACAGTTGGGCTTCTGTCACCTGTGCCCTGCAGAAATCTCAGTGGTAGTTCCCAAAGCCTACAATCTGGAGAAAGGTCCCTGTGAGCGCGGAGAGAAAGGGGCCGGGCCAGGATCTGTACTGGATTTTCCTCTGGCCTCTTTGGCCAATACTGCCCTGTCTGCCTCTAATGTCTCCTTCCATCTATCTACCCAACATCAGCTGAGACTCTCTTCTCTTCCAGGTTATGCTCTGTTCCCAGGTGATCTTATCCACTCCAGACGCTTAAACACCAAACACAGGTGGACAGCCTTAATAACACCCCATCTTCAGTCCATGGCTCTCTTCCAGACTCTGCATTCTTACATCCACCATCTGACTGGACAGCTGCACACGGATGACTCATAAGCACCTTACATCTAAAGCTGCATTCTTGATCCTTGACCCCTACCAGATGCTATTCTCCCTTTCTTCCTTTTTTCCCATCTCTGTAAACTCCATTCACACAGTTGGTCAAGCCAGAAAACTGGGACCCTTGATCCCCCTCCCTTCCCTGTTCACGCACATCTAATTCATCAGTAGGTACTTTCATCTCTCTCAGTCTCTTTCCTTAAATCTGTTTTCTTTCAAGCCCATGTCAAGCCACTGCCACTTCTCACCTGGGTGCCGAGTCTCCTACTGGGGTCTGCCTGCTTTTGCCTTTGCTTTCCCCCATAATGCATTGCTCTCACAGCAGCCAGAGGGTTCTTTTCGGTATGTAGCATGATCTTGTCACTTGGGCTTCAAAATCTTCAATGGCTTCCCTTTGCACTGAGAATGAGATAGAAACTCCTCCCCACGAGCTCTGGCCCTGCCCTGCCTCTCAGGGTCCTGTCAGCCCTTCTTCGCTCACCACACCCTCCTGTCACACTGGCCTTCTTTCAAATCTGCCCTGAGAAGACGTCCCTTTTGATTTCCCCGTTGCCTCTGTCTTTTATCATAACTGGTATTGTGCCCGAGATGGGCAGCAGGAGCAGGAAATGCAAGCCTGGGCAGTGCCCACACGCCAGATACCAGCCTGTGCTTGTGTCAGGGCTTTGCTCCCTGCCCCTCCTGTGTCCCGTCCACACGGAAAAGAATGCTGGAGAATTACTGCTGCTCGTCTGAAGCCACCACTGCCAGGGGGAGGGTGGTGGGAAGCACCCTTGCAAAGTGTGTCCATTGAAGTGGCTTCAAACAGCCAGTGGAAATGTAAGTCCCTTTCCTTTTTCCTCTGCTTTCCTCACAGATTCCGAATCCTTTGGGACGAGGAGGTAGAAAGGGTGGGTCCTGAGAAAGCCTCTCTGGGCCGAGTGGTCTGGAAATTCCAGAGGACCCGTGTTTTGATGGATATTGTGGCCAACATCCTGTGCATTGTCATGGCGGCCATAGGACCGGTAAGCGGGGCTGGCCCGTCTTCTGCTTTGTCTCCCAGGTCCCCAGACTGACAAAGAATGTCATTAGTTACTTTCTCTACGAGCTGGTGGGTTTAGTACATTGTCATTATCTTTGAGCTCCTTGGGGGGTGAATTTTCATAAAGCTAATCCTTGCCAAGCACAGCGGCAGCCACTGAAATTAATTAAAAGGTTTGCCTCATAAAGTCAGATTGCTGACATTATCTGAGGTCTCCCATCCAGCCTCCAGCCCCAGCAGCCCTCTCCTCTCTCCACTGTGCTGTTTTACAGACGGTTCTCATTCACCAAATCCTCCAGCACACCGAGAGCACCTCCAGGAATGTCTGGATTGGCATTGGCCTGTGCATCACCCTTTTTGCCACCAAGTTTACCAAAGTCCTCTTTTGGTCCCTCGCCTGGGCCGTAAATTACCGCACAGCGATCCGGTTAAAGGTGGCCGTCTCCACTCTGGTTTTCGCAAACCTGGTGTCCTTCAAGACGCTGGCACACATCTCAGTAGGGGAGGTAAGCTGGTCCAGAAGGAGTCCAAGTTAGAACACGAACCCCTGAGTTTCCTAGTGGGTGTGAGATGTGCTTCCTGGATGGGGCCTCTGCCTCCCTTTGTTTGTCCATGTCCTGCCCGTGATGTCCCATCTCCCTGCTAAGTGAGGTGGTGGAGACTCAGAACACTGGAGCATTTCAGAGGGAATTCAGGGAAAGGAGGGTCCATCAAAGCTGGAGAACTTGGAAAGTCTTCGCTGTTCGCCGATTGTCAGTGAGGACACGGAGGCAATACGGAGCACACTATAGGCATTTAATAAAACTGATTGACCAATAAATACATCTGGCAATTCCAACTGTGCAGTAATCGGGGTGCCGAAGCCGTAATAAAGCCCATGCCTGTTGGGCTTCAGAATTGACTTTTCCTAAAGTCCTTAATCCTTAGTAGTGAAATCCTCATCTTGTGCATAAGAAAATTTCCCTAGTCACGGGAACCCCAAGTGGCGTGAGGTAATGGAAAAAACTGGCTTATTTCCTAGCTTCTCTGTCAGTATGTTCAGAGCCTCCTGTATCAATTATGGTTAGAGTCAGCTGCACATAACAGAAAACCCCACAGAACAATGGCTTAAGCAAACTGAATTCCCTTCACTCTGTGCGGGATGGGGTCTGGCAGAGGTCAATCCAGGGCTGCTATGGTGACTTCCGGACCTTTCCATCTTTTTTTTTTTCATCACTATCCTAGCACATGGCTCCCATAATAGTTCAAGACAGGTGCTGGAGATCCAGCCTCCCAACCACATTTCAGATGGCTGGTAGGCAGAAGGAGAGAAGGACCGGAGGGGTGTGTCCTCTGACTTGAGCTGGCTCCCTTTCGGATTCCATCCCTAAAGTCCCATTTGACACTTTGCTTATATCTCTTTGCCCTGAACATGGTCACGGGGCCACACCCCTTCAGCAGAGTTGTGCTAATGAGGAAGGAGAGATAGATACCGTGTATGCAGCTAGCGGTCTCTCCAGCATGCTCCTACATGGAAATGCTACTCTTTATGTCCTTCTTCACTCGGATTCTCAGTCCTAAGAGATTGACCTCTTCAAAGTCAGACCAGGATGAGACCCACAAAACTCATATTGGTCCCCTGATAGCCCCTCTTCCCTTTAAGGCAGTTTTTCTCTTCTCTCCTCAGATCCCTCAGCCATGGTGAAAGCCTTCAGTTGAGAAAATGTTTGGGTGGCCCTTCCAAAGCCTGAACCCATGTGCTTTCTTTCCAGGTGCTCAATATACTATCAAGTGATAGCTATTCCTTGTTTGAAGCTGCCTTGTTTTGTCCCTTGCCAGCCACCATCCCCATCCTAATGGCTGTCTGTGCGGTGTACGCCTTTTGCATTCTGGGGCCCACAGCTCTCGTCGGCATATCTGTGTATGCCATATTCATCCCCATCCAGGTAACGGTGGGTCTTTGCACTTGTTACTTGTTGCGTCACGCTTGCACTTCAAACACACACCCTCACTCATTGGACAGAGGCTTCATTTCCAGGGTGTGGACCTGAAGCCTGCTCCCACTTTGCGCTCACAGATGTGCTTTCTTTTCTTGGCACAATACAGTTTTTTTAAAAACTTGACCTCGAATGCCCTGGGGGGGTGGGGGCACATACTTCTCCAGTTTGTCAACGTCCCTGACACTCTCTTTGCATCCTGGTGATTCATGTATTTACATCACCTGCCTGATCACCGGGGTGTCGCCCAGGCCACGTCAGCTGTCACTGCTCAAGGGAAGGACTCAGACGAGAATCTCAGGCCAGCCTCTCTTAGAACTTTTCCTGGCACTTATACTCCAATCCTTGGGTTTTCAGGCCAACTGCAACTCAGCAGTTCTCCCTGAACAGTGTTTGTACCTTGATTTCAGATGTTTATGGCTAAGCTAAGTTCGGCTTTCCGAAGGTCAGCAATTTCAGTGACAGACAAGCGTGTTCAGACAATGAATGAGTTTGTGACCTGCATCAAGCTGATTAAAATGTACGCCTGGGAGAAATCTTTTACCAAGACCATTCGAGGTAGGGTGAGCAGCTGCTGAAAGAACCACTTACCCAGTAGAACGTGACCTTCTAAGGGGTTCTTAAGGTTCCTGGGGTCAGGCATTCTAGAAGGGGGCTGAGGGGGCCCCCTGAGCTGCTCTGCAGGCTTTTCAAAGGATTATGGAGATTTTATAATAGAAGCGGGCATCTGTTCTGGTGAGCCCAAGGGCTCGGCAGGTAAGCGCCATATGGTTTGGCTTTTACTGGGACATATGGACGCTGACTGACCGGTTAGTCACCTTTTATAAAAATAATCCACTAAAACATTGTGAGCAGAAGAAGAGCTGTCTCAGGTTATTTCCTTAACTTAGGAGATGCCTGCACGCATACATGTACACATGCGCACACGCACACGCACGCACACGCCCACTTCCACAGAAACGCCCTCCATGCCACAGCTGCCTCATCATCACTGGGTGACCCGGTGACTTGACATTGCTTGTGCAGATAAGAGGATGCATATATAGCTTTTCTTTTAAACATGATATGAAAACCACTTCAGTCAAATATAAATGCAAATCTAATTGCAGGAACATTTCCATAATTGCTGGCATAGACTCAGGTGGTTGACCAGTTAATGATCTGAACCACTGTTACGATTGACTCTTCAGATCTGCAATTACACCTTTAGACCAGCATGTAATTGGGCCGGAAGCTGTGTATCCGCGATTTCGGAAGTGGCTTTAGGAAACTGACTTCTGAGCTTGCCAAACAAAGCGCCCCAGGTTGGGACCCTGGCCGCCCGAGGGGACACCCTTTGAAGACTCAGAAATACTTCCTCACACATTGAACTCACCTCAATACAATTGATTTGATTCAAATAAATTCGGTTCCATTCTACTTAATTCAATTTAACACGAGCCAGATTAAGTCAATAGATATACCAAGTTCCTCCTGTGTCAGGCCATGGGGGCTACACAAATGATCAGGAATAGGGCCCCTGCTTTACGAGTAAGGGAGGATGCGCTAACTAAGCTCAAACGTGGCTGTGTTTGTTGGCTGTACCTCCAGAGTATGCCTGGAATCCGTCTGCTCCCCTCCAAGCCAGTGTCCTCTGCCTCCTGGACAATAGCAGCCCCTGTTTTCCTCCTTCCCCCTAAAATTATGCACTCAGTGGCCCATATGACCTTTTAGAAATGTCAGTCAGATCCTGTCCCGCCCCTGCTGGCAAATCTTTAGTGGCTTCTTATCACACTTAGATTATTCAAACTTAGGGTTTTGAATGAAATCCAGGCTCCTTCCTCTGGCCCATTATGTCCAGCACGGTCTTCCCTGCTGACCTCTCACACTTCACCACATCTGACCCTAACCCTGGATAAGTCCTGCTGTTCCCTCTTGTCTGGAATGTCTTCTGCTACCTGTTCATGGTGACTTTGTCTTGACTTTAGGTCTCCTCTCAGTGTTACGGATTCAAAGAGGCCCTCTTACCACAGTCCTAGGCAGGTCCACGCCCCAACACTCCCCTAAATCACTTCACCCTGCTCAGTTTGTTCATATCACCCAACACAACCTGTAATGATCTTATTTATTTTGTTGTCTGTCGTCCCTACTGGAAGAGAGCTGAGGCCCTTTTACTCCAATCTTCCCCAGCACCTGGCATATAGTCGACATCTGATTAACATTTGTTAAATGAGGGAATGCGTGACTTAATGATGGGATAAAATGGGTAAAATGCCACAAGAGAAACTGAGAGCAGTTCCACGGGGGTGAGTACGCTGGGTGGGAGCGATCAGGGGAAGCCTCTTGGCAGAGGTGGCATTTCTGATAGGCCTTGAAGGGTAGCAAGAATGTGGACACTGACAGAGCTGGGGGAGCCCCCAGGGAGGAGCAAAGGCCGGAAGTGGAGATGTAAGGGCGAGCTTGGGTAAGGAGGTGGCCGGTGTTTTCCAGGCGAAGGGCATGTGGGCAGCAGAGCATCAGACCCGGACAGAACTGGGCTCTGATCTGTCTCGACCACTTAAAAGGCAAATTCCTTAACCCGCTAAGACTTTCCTCTCCTGTCAAAAGAGCATAAAAATAGCCTCTGCCCTGTACCACATGGTGAGAGCAATCTAATGAGTGTCCACTCAGCGTTTGGCAGAGCTCCTGGCATGTAGTGGGCACCCAGTACGAATGGCCATGGGAGCATGCTGCCAATGTGAAACGGCTTTTGCAGGGGTCGTGGAATTGGAGTTGAGGACTTTTAACTCCAGGGGGAGGAGGCTTGAATTTAACCTGTGAGCGGTACAGCGTCACGGGCCTTAGGATGAAATGCTCTTGGGTTTGGTAGCTGTTCCTGGGACCCGGGGCAGGTGGCCCAAGCCAGCAGTCTTCAGGTCAGCACATGTGTCTTGTTTGGCCGTACGGTATTTAAAAACGCTTTTCAATTAGGTGCCGACTTTTAAAAGTAGGGAGTTGTTTCCCCAAAGTCCAGATCTCAGACTTGGGAAGAGTTGAAGGTCTGGTGACCCCAAGCTGCCAGCACTGAGAGGTGGCTGCCCCTTTCACTGAAGCAGGTGGTCCCCATTTTTGCTGCCCTCCACACCCTCCGTTTGGTTTTTCTCTCTGCCCACTCCCTTCATTTACAGTATTTGCCTGGCCCCCGTGGGCATCTGAGCCTGATGCAGGAGAATCAGGACTGGAAGCCCTCCAGTAATGACAGCTGACGGGCACTGAGCTCCCAGTACGGGCTGGGTTCGTGCCCGGGGTGTTCTGTGCTTCCTCTAATTTCAACTTCACAACAGGAATCCTTAACTCGCCTTTGAAGGAGGTTCAGGCAGGGACAATACGCTTCTTAATGCTGGTGCTTGACATGCAAAATAAGACCAGTGTGGACTGTTATATGTTTTGCAGATATAAGGAAGAGGGAAAGGAAACTCCTGGAAAAAGCGGGATTTGTCCAAAGTGGAAACTCAGCCCTGGCCCCCATTGCATCCACCATAGCCATCGTACTGACATTCACCTGTCACATCCTCCTGAGACGCAAGCTCACCGCCTCGGTGGTAAGAGCATCTGGACAGCTGGCCTCTTTCGCACCCCGACTCTGGCGAGTGCCAGGTGGGAAGCTCCTCCCGCCTCTGCCCGGCACTGGCACCAGACCACCTGCTCTCGTGGGCCAGGCTGCCAGAATTCCGTTCCTGACCAGGGGAGCCTCACAGCGACTCTTGTCTGGTCCATGGCAGGGCAGGGGGCGTAGTTAACGCTGGAACACAGTCCTCCATTTGGGAAACAAAGCTGAAGCCAAACAAGCACTTGGGTGCCTTCTTCATGTTGAGTCACAGACACTACGTGAAGGAGAGTCTGTGGGCGTCGCCTGGGTGGGAGGCGCTGTGGGAGTAGGGTCAGGGTCCCCTTGTTTACATCCCCCTCTGCTGTTCACTCACTATAACTGTGGCAAATCATCGAACCTCTCTTGCTCTGGTTCTGTTACCTGTAAACAGGATGATGATAGCCCCCATGGCTGACAGGACTGAGGAGCTCTTTTCTGTGGGTGGAAAATGCTGGATAGTGTTTGCTATTCAGTCCTTGTCAGCCTGCTCTCACCCAGGCCAGGCAGATTCGGGTTGAAAGCCTCAGGAGAGGTGGGGTGAAGTGAGGTGCTCAGGGGTTTTTTTCGTTTTTTTTTTACAAGGTGGGTGGGTGGGGGTGCATTCAAGGTAAAGAAACTCTGAGCTAGAGAAGAAACAAACAACTAAAATAGTAAACCCAGTGTCTGAAGGGTAAGTGGTTGGAAGAATTTCTCAATCTGGATAGAGAGGGAGGGAGAGGGAGGGAGTGAGGGAGGGAGAGAGAAAGAGAGAGAGAGAGAGAGAGAGATAGATGGAGAGAGAGAGAGAGTGAATATACGCTCACAGGGGAAGAACGGCACTCAAATCCAGGGTGCTGAGGGGAGGGTGCGGGATGATTGAGAAGGCAGTGGTCTTGCAGCGGCACCCCCTGGGGGCCGGCAGCCCCGTGACAGTCCTGTGTTTCTCCGGGAGGTGCACTGGCTTTCTCAGGCTCTTCGCCTATGGTTTACTCTCGCACACTCTAGGGGTCTGAACCCAGCCACGGACCCCAAGCCAGAACGAATGTCCTGAACAGACTGCTACCCAATTAGCGTGACTGCTTTCTATGATCCCAAACAACAACAAGAGATTTTCTTTTCCCAGCAACACAGCGAGCAAATTAATTTGAAACCAATTGAGTGCACACAGTTAATATTCTCTAAAACGATGATTTAGAAGAAAGCTAGACCAAGAACAAATTCCCTGAACGCAGGGCTTGTATTTCTTTAGCTTCAGAATCCCTTGCAGTCGCATCTGCCAGGGCATCAGGAGGTCAGCCCCCAGGCCAGGCGCCTGGTCACGTCAGGCTGCTCGGCTGCTCTGCCAAGCATGGCCTGTGTCTCCTAAGCGAAGACAGTGCTTCGGGACCTGGGGGAGCTGAGTTCTCCTTGGGGAGGGATTTAGGACCAAATGCGATGAAGGGAGCATCCTTCATCATCCTCTTAACAACTAACTAGGATCAGCCGAAGCCTGGGGCCCCTGCAGCAGACAGGGTTTGTCAATGGAAGTTGTGTTATTAATTTCTTACATTGGGTGGTTAGGGAGAGGCCGCTATTTCCAAGTTGGACAGATGAGAACATGAAATCTGAGCTATGAGGCCATGCGCCCTGGGGCACCAACAGAGCGGAAACGGGCCTTCCTGGGGTGCACAGGATATTAACCACCCACCGGGCAGGGCTCAGTGCGGAAGGCCCCAGTGAAAAGCGGAAGGGTTTTTTGGGAATGGCAGCTGAACAATGGCTCTCAAAGCTGCCCCTTGTGTGTGGGGAGGCATGGAGGCCTGAGCCTGGGGCAGGGCAGCCAGGGGTCAGCCACTCCCTCGCAGCTTCCGCCTTCATCCCTGGGGCTGTGTGTGGTGTGGAGAAGGGTACTCCAGCTCAAAGGGCCAGAGGGGAGGGGGTGGTTTGGGGAATCGTGTGGGGCGTTGAGTGAATGAATGGTCTAGGGTGTGGTACGGATGGAGAGTTCCAAATACGTCCCGTCCCGTTAGAGCTCTGCCCCGGACCTTCTCCTCTCTGGGCTGTCAGAGACAAGGGGATACATTTCCCACCATTTGGGTGAAGATCCCAAAGCAAAGTGTATTAAGATGCTGCTATCCCTGATTTGCCAACCCATGATTTCTGAGCCATGACATGAAAGAAATTGTTCCTCTGAGAATCCCAACTGCGCCACTGTCTCCCCTCTCCGGAAGTCGCGTCCCCGTGGATGTGTCGGTACAGAGCCAAGGCCACGTCTCATCCTGAACCTTGTCCCTCTTTTGTTCGTCAGGCATTCAGTGTGATCGCTATGTTTAATGTAATGAAGTTTTCCATCGCGATCTTGCCTTTCTCAGTCAAAGCAATGTCCGAAGCCAGTGTCTCTCTAAGGAGAATGAAGGTATAACTAACAGTGGGTGAGTAGGGAAGACAGGTCTCGTTTTCGGGTGGGGAAGTTGCAGATACGGGGAAGCTGTGTGGACCCACGGGAGGGATGGGTTTGGTGGACAGTGGGAGAAGGCCCTCCATTCAAACTTGGATCAGTAAATGTGTGTGGAGGAGGGTATGTGCATTTACGGAAAAATGAGATGGAGTCACCGTACAGAGACGACTTCCTGACTCTCTACTCTTCATCCAAGCCATAAGTTGTTCCAGGAGTGGGCATTACTGGAAATTACTACCTAGTGCAAGCAAAGGTGAGGCAGGGGGAAGGGGATGCGAGCCTACCGTTTGTCCCATAATGGCTGTGGTGATGGAGCGATGAAGAGGGTGGAGAGCACCACATTTGTGCACTATTTAGGCACTTTACTCATTCGTTTATTTGTTCATCAAAACTTACTGCGTGCTTCCTACACCCAAAGCATTGTGGGACATGCAGGTACAAAGAAGAGGGGGCCTTTACTCCAGTCCAGGATCGGACCAGGTGCCCCAGGAACTGCCATACATTGGCAAGGAAGTGAGTGACATGCAGGAAGGGCATATAAAGTGGTTCTGAAGCGGAGGTAAGGACAGAAAAAGGAGGGTGTCCCAGTCCAGAGAACAGCATGTTCACACATCTGCGAACTCACTGAAAGGTCTTACTCCAGCCAGAAATCTGGACGTCACCTTAAGCATCCTAAGTGTCCAAATCCCTCTTCTCCCTCACCATTCACATCCAACCAGGCAAGAGCCCTGCAGACTCATCTGATGGCTGCATCCCCTCAGTTTTAAGAGCTGCTGTTTGTAAGGCTGACTAGAAGACACACTGTTGAGTCACCACTTTTTGAACAAGCAGCCTCCCCATCACGTTAGCTGCATGTATCACGGCATCGGGTACCTTAGACTGAGGAACAGCGCTGTGTGTTGGCCCCTCCACCTCCAGTCTGACCCCGTTGCCATCACCTTCGTTCAAGGCCTCACCATCTCTCGTCTGAACTCTCACAGTCACTTATGGGCCACTCGTCCTTCTTCAACACCCTCCTCCTCAAGTTCATACCGTACTCAGCCCAGAGAGCTGGTAAACCATTGGTCTGACCAGTGATGTTCACCTGCTAGAAATCCTTGAACTCCTCAGGGACCCGGTGGAGACCCCGATCAGCGGGCCCTGAGTTGTGTCTCCACTCCCTTTCCTGCACGCTTCCTACCTTGAGCTCTGGGCCTCGGTGACCCTGAATTGCTTGTTTCATGCCCCCCACCCCACACACCACACTGTTGCGTGCCGTTCCCTGTAGTAGAGAGCTCTCCTCCCCTCTCCCCTGCCTCATCTTTGCCTGCACGTCACCAATCCAGACTCAGCTCAGGCGTCCATGACACAAAGGGGAGCCAAGGGAAATGTCTCTGGCTGGTATGGCGCTTTGTCCTGATCCCATTGTATTGAAATGATCTGTGCATGTTCCCATCTCCCCCCAAGACTATAATCTCTCCAAAGGCAGGAGCCAATTTTCCTCATTTCTGCTGTTTACTCCACAATCTGGGGCAGAGTAGGTGCTTGGCAAATGTTCTGTTGACCTGAGCTTAAAGGGGACCTAGGGAGGGAACACAGCAGAGACTGAGCATGTGAGCTTGGTTTCATAAGCATTAGGGCCAAACAATGAAGCCCACCACCCAAAGACAGGCAAAAGTTGGCTATCTTGGGCATGAGGGCCGACTGCAGCTGGGATGAACCTTCTCCAGGTGGGGGACCCAACAGGCTAAGGAGCCATCCGTCCTAGAGAGCATGAGCTAGTGGATGATTTCTGCTGCAGGTTCTCCTGGGAGAACACCTTCAGAACACCTTTCCTGGATGTCCTAGGTAGAATCGCCAAGACTGTGATTTTGGGGTCATGAGGAAATATAGTGGGATGATTCTTGCCAATGGATGATGTCTACCCAGTTAATTTTGTTTCTTTAATCTTAGAAAATTCTCATAGCTAAAAGCCCCCCATCTTACATCTCCCAACCAGAAGACCCAGACACTGTCTTGCTTTTAGCAAATGCCACCTTGACATGGGAGCAAGAAGCCAACACGAAAAGCGACCTAAAGAAAGTGGAGAGCCAGAAAAGGCATTTTCTCAAGAAACAGAGGCTGGAGACATACAGCCTGAGTCCATCAGCCCAGGACGTCGCTGGCCCAGAGCAGCACGGTGGTAGCTGCAAACCAGTCCTGCACAATATCAGCTTTGCTGTGAGAAAGGTGGGTATGGGGACTAGGGGGACGGCCTCCAGCCTCCTCCCCACATCACATAGCTCGGGCCTTCTCAAGGCCCAGTCCAATTCAGTTTGTGTGGAGGCCAGGTGGGATGTCATAACCAGGCTGTTCCCTTCCCCCGATTTTAAAGCTATGACTTGAACAGCGGAGCCATCCTCTTCAAGCCAAGAGGATGATTGCAATATTAGTACTGATCTTCACACCCTAAAGGCATCTGGGGCCTGTTTCAGTGTTGAATGGACAGTCCATTCAGGTGGCTAGGCTCAAACACATCTTTTCAGATTTGTTATTTCACATGGGAGTGCCATGATAGAGAAAAACAACTGACCTTTACGAGCGGGTACATAACTAACTCATTTAACCACCCCAATAACCAACCCTACAAGGCAGGTTCTATAGCTCCCCCCACTTCATGATTGAGGAGCCCGAGGCACAAGGACGTTAAATAACTCGCCCAAGGTCACATGGCTAGCAAGTGGTCGGAGAGGGCTTCACACCCAGGCTCTGTGCTCTTCCCCACCACGCAGCTCTGCTCCTGGGGAAAGCACCCCAGCAATGGACGCCAGCCAGAGTCTGTGGCTGCCCCCTCCCCTCAGGGGAGCCAACACGGTGCTCTGTTCCCCAGTTTCATCGAGTTCCCCAGCAGCGCTGAGTTCCCTGGGCCTCCTGTGGGAGCTGACCTAACAGTACACCCTCGACGGGGCCCTTCCCTTTCCTGTATCACTTCCCCTCTCCCCAGCCGGTGTTTCCTGCACCTCCAAACCCAGCTACTTTCACTCAGACCCTCGATTCAGGGCCTGTTTCTGGGAGAACTCGAGCTAAGCCATCTACCTTTCCAGGAAGGCTCCCACCCGCAGGTACTGCCTCCTCTGTTTTGTCTGTTTCCATGGCAGGCGTCTGACACACTTGGTACTTCCCTTACTTATCTAGCTTACTATCCGTCCCCCGTCTGGATTTTAACCTCTATTGGGTGTGCTTTCCTGGAGCCTGGACACAGGACGGCCCTCGTGGCTGGGCCAGCACAGACTGTCGCACATCACCGCTTGCACGTGATTCCTAGACGCCCTCCACGCACTCTGCAGGCTGCACAAGGGGAAGCGTTTAACTAGGACTTAGGCTCCTGCACCCACCCAGGCTGTGTATCTGGGCTGGGGGGTGAGGTTGCAACTGCCTCCTCCCAGAGCCAGCAGGGAGCCCTTGGTCCCCACCCGCTCTGCTTGCAGGCGCCTTGGCCCAAGGCCCTCTAAGGACAGGGAGAATGACTATCCTGTTCCTGTCCCTCTGGCAGGGGAAGATCCTGGGGATATGCGGGAATGTTGGCAGTGGAAAAAGCTCCCTCATTGCAGCTCTCCTGGGACAGGTAAGCTGTGTGGTTGCACTGTGGGGATGGAACACTAATGTCCAGTGACGTGGTTCCCCGCCTGCCATGTTTGGGGCCCTGTGAGAACAGCGGACCCAGCGGCCGGACTCGGCTGCACTGGACGCGGGGCACATAGGTAGCTGAGGATCATTTCCAGGAGGTTAATGAACTCGGCAGCTCCAGGCCCTTTGGCCAGACAGGGGCTGCGCTTTTCACAGACTCAGGCCTGCCTTCTGAGGATGTGTGCTAAATGGTGACTTCTTCCTTGCCAAGAGCTCCATCTTGGTCAAAGGAAGAGACGGGTCATTAAGCCCATGGTTTTCCCCACGACTCGAGCTGTCTTGATTAGAAAGCCTAGCACGGCAGCTTGGCACGGGAGGGTCCGTGAGCCTGCGCCTCGCAGTGACTTTGGATTTGTTTTTCCCTCGTCTGGCTCCATGCCCCCGGTGTCTGCCCAGAGCAGCTGCTTGATCAAGCCTTCCTTGAAGAAGGGGTGGGTGGCTGAGTGCACGCACCAGGGAAAGCAGCACACCAGCTTCTCTACACACCTTGTGGTAGGAAGACGGAGGAACCCGGGGCTCCTGTCCCTTGTCTTCAGCTGTGTGACCCCAGAGACATGGCCAAGTCACAGGCCCCCACGTTGTCAGGGTTTCTCATCTCAAATGAATGAGAAACTCCAGGGAAAAAATATTCTGTCCTCTTTCCCCCAATGTCGCTGCTCCTGGAGAGAAGTCTGGGAACCTCACGCTGCCCTCGCCTGCGGCAGGGAGAGGGCAAGACACCTCTGCAGAAACGGGGATGCCAGGCTCCGAGCAATCCCCAGACTAGGGTGACTCCTTTTGGACTCACGTCTAGGAAGAGTGACAACCCTTCCTTGCCCAAAGGTGGAGGTGGGGGCAGGATCAGGTGAGCGCCTGAGGTCGCCCTGCTCTGGATTCCTCAGAGGCAGGTGAGTTACAGGTGGCCCCGCCCAGTTCTCCACCTACAGGACGCTGCGAATTTCTCCACAGTGTCCTGTAGGAGATGAGCCAGCCTCTGCTTAGACACCAGCTGTGATGGGGAACGCATCGCAGTCAGTTCCCTCTTTGGAGAGTTTTGGTATCTATTGCAGGGAAATTTGCCTCCTTTTAACTTCTACCCTTGGGTCTGCTCCTTGGGACCGTCCCAGAGAAAATAAACTGTCTGCCGTGTGACAGTGGTGGGATCAGGCCCTTCACTGTGGTCACTGGGAGGCAGGGTGGCGGGGTGGTTTAATGAGTGGGCTCTGGGCTGCCTGGGTTCCCCACCTGTCTTGGCCTTATGTTCAGTGTTTCACCTTGGACAAGTATCTTCACCTCTCTGAGCCTGTTTCCTCATCTGTAAAACAGTGTGCTAAGGAGGGTCGTAAACGACATACTGTATGTGATAGTCAGCGGGCGGTAGAGTAACTCGCGGTGGCAGTCATGGTGACCGTCACGTCACACAGTGCCTGGCATATGCCCTCTTCGTTGTAGCTATTATTATTATTACCATTCTTGTCATCATTCTCTCTCCTGCAAGGTTAATGCTCTCTGCCCCCTGGACCATTCCTGAGGTGAAGTGGTGTCACCTTTCTTGATCACCCTGGCTATCCTCCTTCTCTGCCCCTGACACACTGTCCCTGTGCCTGAGCGTCAGCCCTGAGCACCATGGCCAGCCTCCACATCCCCTCTCATGACAGCTTTGAACATGGCCTCACCTCTGGCGTCTACTGGGGCCATCTTAAATGAACTTGTGCCCTCAGGGTCACAGACAAGAGCTCAGACGTGTTTTTTAATTGGATTGCCCAATGTTTTAAAAGTCGAAAATTTCCACATGAAACTAGATTTTCTGCTCTGTTGAAAAATACGAAACTGGCTGCACACGGCATGCATCCTTGCATAATACCAGCTCTGCTCCCTGAGAATGGGCCACCACCCACAGCAGTGCAGAATGTGTCCCCCCCAATCCCAGGGCCTGGCTGAGGAAGGGGGCCAATCAATGCGTCCAATCAGGGGGCATTTTGCTTGAGTTGCATGAAGGCGCTGTGTGTGCTAGCAGCAGCCCTGCACACAGGACTTGCCACTGACTCTTCTAGAACTTTCCTGCCTGGCCCTTTGCAGATGCTTGACTTTGAGACCCTCGATCTGCACAGCTGGGTTTTGCAGTGTGTGGACAAGACATCCTGTCACCCTCCTGCACCTTCAGAATGAACGCTCAGGACAAGGGGGTGCAGGGGTGCAGTGGGCCCCCGGGGAGGTCGGTGGATCTGCTCCTTAAGGGTCTCTGGCTCTGTGGTTCCAGATGCAGCTACAACAAGGGGTCGTGGCGGTCAGCGGGACTCTGGCCTGCGTTTCCCAGCAAGCGTGGATCTTCCATGGAAATGTGAGAGAGAACATATTATTTGGAGAAAACTACAATCACCACAGGTAAGATGGGGCACGTCAGTGCTCGGGATGTTCTGCTACATATGTGAAGCCACTGGTAATGGCTGCTAAGTGGTTTTCTTAACGAGTCCTGGCTCCACACTGATCAGGTCTAGACGGGTGTGGTTTTTCTCTTCCTGACCGAGGGTTGGGGAGAGTTGCCTCCTGCTGACCAGCGACCATGCTCTCGGCACAGATGGAATCGGTGCTTGGCTCCTGGTGCCGAGAAGCATATGTTTGGGGGTCCGTGTGACAGTGCGCATTCTCTGAGTGGAGGAAGGCAAATCTGGCAGTTTTCCTTTAGGCCAAATAACCAAAACTTTGCTTGAAACCATGAGCAGCGAGTTTGCAATTCATCAGCCCTGAAATGACTACGTGACATCAGAGCTACCAGGATATATTGCTGTTGATGTCCCCAAAATGAGCTAATGAAATAAAAAGTTCAAGTTGTAATTTTGCAGTCACTTTGGACTGTTTTCTCTGAGCTCTGGAAAGGAACAGCTCCCTGCTGTTCTCTGCTGGGTTGGGTGTGCTGCCATGTACAGTCTCTCCTTAGGGTCCTATAACCACCCGTTTAGGGAGATCCTGGCCCCATTTTATAGATGAAGAGGCTGAGGCCCAGAGAGGAGAGCTGACCTTCCCAGGGTCAAAGCTATTAAATGGCAGAGTTGAGGCTTGCACTCCAGGCCAGCATCATTTGTTCCTGCTGGAGCTGCCTGGCAGCTGGGTCACCCTGAAGCCCCCCCGCCAAGCGCCACCTTGCTGAAGTAAAAACAAATGGAATTGGTTTTATGAATCAGGCCGTCAGCTTTCCAACGGTTGCCTGGACTTTCACATCCTATTATCTGAACCCATAAACTCTGCCCTTGCTGGCTGGCATCAGCCAGCATGTGGGTTCCCAGCAAGAGGTCTGTTAGTGCCTCTCCTCTTCCCCTGCCATGGCATCCTGCTGCCAGGAGGCTCAGGAGTGGCAGGAGGGTCTGACCAGCGTGGGTATCCTTGGCACCAGCTGGACTGCTCTGCTCAGCACTCCTGGCCTGCCTTAGCCTGCCCTCCTCCCAGCCCTGCCTGGAACGGCTTCTCTTTCCTTGGAAGTAGGCTACAATCTATCAATTAGTTCATCAGAGGGCAAATATTTACCGAGTAACCGGCACTACGCAGGACCACGGGGCCCACGGGGGTGGCTCAGATGTCTCTTTGCCCTTGAGATGCTCAAGTCTGGAAGGGGCTCCAAAAGACGCACAGAAATAACAGTGCACCAAGGAGGACGCGCTAAGTGGCAGGGGCCTGCGCTGGGCTGTTCAGGGGCAGCAGAGGCCATGAGCGGGAAGAGAAGGTGCCGCCTCCACTGGGCCTCAAAGGATGGATGGGGTACCCTCCATGTGTGGCAATTCTAGCAGCGGTTTTGCTCCTGGGGTGGACATTGTGGCTCTCAGGCCCAGGAAGCAGGATGGAGGGAAGGAGTTTAAGATGGGGGGTAGGGAGCGGCAACTGACAAACGTAATAATAATAACGACCCCGATGGAGAGCTGGCAGTGAGCCGGACGTGCGCACGGCTTTGCGCACGTTTCTGCTTCCTGCTCATAATCCAGTGAGGGTTGTTAGCCCAGTTTTATAGAGTGGTGTGTGAGGATGAAGGAGGGACAGTCACGTGGCCAAGGTTATGCAGCTGGATTCAAACCCAGACTGTTTCGATCCCAGAGCCTGAAGCTGGCATGGGGGCGCGATGCTCAGGGCTGTGCCCAGCGTCAGTCCCAGGTCATCGGGTGCCGCTGGAGGGCTGGCGTGCCACCTGCAGTGCAGCTCACTGTCCTGCTGCCGCCCTGTTTCGGGAAGGCATGTCGTGCCAAGTCTGAGCGGGGAGGCCTGCCCATCGCCGCGCACTGAGAAGAGCGGTTCCCGTGATGTGGGTGGTAGCGCTGGTGTCAGTCACTCAGCCAGAGAGCCCATGGATCAGTCTCCAAGGGCACAGGCAGCCTGTCGAGTGGGACAGGAACCCAGGGCTCTGTGGTGGGGCCTGGCTGCCGCCTGGATGCGGCACAAGCTTGAACCGCCACCGGGCGCACCAGGGACCTCGGAGCAGGAGCCAGTTGCTGAGGCGGCTGTGGGGGCTACTGTGGTGCCTTGCCCCAGTGACACCAACAACGCCTCTAGCAGCCACCCCGAGCTGTGGATTGTGGAGTCTTTCTCGCCATGCTGACATCTGACCTTTGTTCCCACAGGTATCAGCACACGGTTCGTGTCTGTGCCCTCCAGGATGACCTGAGCAGCCTCCCTTATGGAGACCTGACTGAGGTGAGCAGAGCCGGGAGCTTGGCCCCACGGCTGCAGCATGGCGGCCTGACTGCCAGGGCCCCAGGGCGGAGTCTCGGCAGGCCCAGCTCCAGCCGCATCCAAAGCCCCGAAAGGTCCCAGGGAATGCGGGCAAGTCGGGTCCTCCTGTCCTGATTTCTCTGTCAGGGTCTGTTCTTGGGGGACACCACAGTGGGTCTGGCACCAATTCCACTTGTGCTGGGTTCAGCATGGTCACTCCTGGGATCATTTCTAAGCTGTCTGTCATCTCAGGGAACGTTTCTGGCCAAAGCTGCTTGTCACCTTGAGGACTGGCTCTGTGGTGGGGCCCAGGGGTGTAAGGGTCATCTCCAAGCTGTCTGCAGGATGCTTGTCCGGAGAGGTGGCTGGGTCCTGCCAACTCAGGAGACCGGAGAACTAAAGCGTCCTGAGGACAGGGGAGCTGAGAGCACATCGCCTTTGTCTGCTCATGCCCTCAATGTGCCTTCCTATCCTCAGGGTACCTGGTGCCGTCAGGGTGTCCCTGAGGGGTGGAGGAGCGGGGACACGGTCATGTTCAGTCTGCAGGAGTCCTGAAGGCTTCAGGAAGCTCCGCCCCCCCAAGGAGCAGGTGGGACTCGATGATGGGCAGCAGCCCTGGCCCTGCCCGCAGGTCAGGGAGCGGGGCCTCAACCTCTCGGGCGGGCAGAAGCAGAGGATCAGCCTGGCCCGCGCCGTCTACTCTGACCGTGAGGTCTACCTGCTGGACGACCCCCTGTCGGCCGTGGACGCCCACGTGGGGACGCACATTTTCGAGGAGTGCATTAAGAAGACGCTCAGGGGGAAGACCGTCGTCTTGGTGACCCACCAGCTGCAGGTGACTGAGACTGGGACCCACGAGGCCATGGGATGGGTGTGGCACCTGACGCTAGTCTCCCCTTCTGCCTAAATCTGCCCCTCCTGTCCTGGGCTGTCTTCACCTGAGCCTGCTCTGGGGGTAAGAGGCAGGTCTCATGGCTTTCACAAGGGTAAGTCAAGCTGGGAGAGGGAGGTGGGGTTGTCATGGCTACGGGGAGGCTCTAGTCAGCATTTTTAGGACCCCCGTCAGTGGCCAGAAGAGCCAGCTTGAAGAGGGGCAGTTTCTTAAAGACCCCGGAAAACCAGGCCTCCCCATCGCCGTGGCTCTGCCCCCAGCCTGCGCCTCCCTTGGCTGAGGACTCTCAGAACAAGCTCCAAGCGTTTGGATTTTGCCTGTGGGGGCTGCCTCGGCGTGTTCTCAGTGGGCTTGGTCACCTCCACGAAGCATCAGGCTGGGCTGGGGAGGACACAAGCGCCACCTGCTCCTGTGCTGGCCTGGGGTCAGGGTGGAGGGGAAGACTGCATTGCTTCTGGCCCTGATGAGGTGCCTGGTAATGGGCTCTCGTCCAGTCGGGATGGTAAACATGGTGACCACAGCTCTGCCCCGGGGAGGTCCAGTCCCTGGAGACCACCTGTCCACCGGGAGCGGGATTCCTGGCACCTGACAACTGTGGGTTGCAGCTGTCCTTCCAGGAGTCTTCATTGTGTGGCACGGTAACCTCAGCCCTGGCCCAATCCTTGAACCTCGCCAACGAGCAGTATGACCTCAGGCAGAACTATCTCCTCCCCAGGCCTCCGTCTCCTCAGCGTCCCCCTTCCCCCAAGGTCATTTGATCTCAGTTTTGGCGTAGTGAAAATGCAGGCATCCACCAGATGGCACTGGAATGTCAGGCCGACGGTCCGTTGCTGGGAGGAAGGGGCTCAGAGCCCCAAAGCGGAGCCTCTGGGCTTTTCCGGAACACTTCTCCCCGCCGCTACTCTGGGCCCCACAGGCATGCTTCCAGACGCATCCGGGCGCGTGGGCTGGACGATAGCTCTTTTGTCACTTGAGGAAACAAGCAAAATGAGGCCGCTCGCTGCCCCGCCACTGAAGTCCAACCGAGTCAGATTTTGTGAGTTTGCAGAACAGAGCTGCTCAAATCACAGCCAGTCTCACTGGAGTGAACTGGGGCTCACTGGCCAGAGGGGCTTCTGGGAGCTTCTGGGGCTGCAATGTGTGCCCCACACGGGCAGGAAAGGCCGGGGGGCTGTGACAGGTCCACGTGTGCCTCAGTCACCCCATCTGGAAGATGGGCTGGTAATACAGCTGCTGGCTGTGTTTACTGGGTTGTAGGCGACTGAGAGATCGGAAAGTCAGCAGCAGCTGGGCAAAGGTGAGAGGCTGTTTCCAGGAGAAGGGCTCTGTCAGAAAGCGCCCCAGCTGGACATTAAATGCCACGCTGTTCCCGCTTCGATTGTCCAGGAAAGTGGACAAGGAGCTGGGCAGTTAGTCTGAGGGGGACAGGAAGCCTGGAGCTGCCCGACCTGTCAGAATGGCTGTCACTCGGCCTTTGGGCACCACCGTCCCCCCCACACCCCACCAAGTGTACAGTGACCAAAGATAGCCGCCTCTTTCTGGCTTCTAATCAAGAGCATCAGGGTTGATTTGACCTTGGGTGGACCCCGAAGTACAGGGCAAGACCTCTGGCCTGTGCTGCAAAGGTGTCTTCAGGCTGAGCTGTCTTCAGTCTCACCAGCATCGCGCCTACTTCTAGGACAGCGGCTCTCAACCTTCCTAATGCCGCGACCCCTGAATACAGTTCCTCATGTTGTGGTGACCCCCAACCACAAAATTATTTTCGTTGCTACTCTATAACTGTAATTTTGCTACTGTTATGAATCGTAATGTAACTATCTTTTTGTTTTCTGATAGTCTTAGATGACCCCTGTGAAAGGGTCGCTCGGCCCCCCCAAAGGGGTTGCGACCCACAGGTTGAGAACCGCTGTCTGGGAGGAAGCTTCCTGACCTTAGATGGGTTGATCCCATAGAGAGAGAGAGCTCTGTTTCATTCCAAAATAAGATGGAACCCCTCTCGGCAGAACTCATTGATCGTTGATCTCAGGAGTGATATGGAAATGACAGAAAGTTAAATTAGAAAAACAGAAGTGCTTTGGGCAAAAAATGTGGGACGCCATCATTAAATGTAGCTATATTTTCATCATACAGATAAAGCTGGTGTAAACACCCCAGGCCAAAGGGTGCGGCCTGGCCTGGCGCAGGGGGACTGGCTAGGTGACGAGGATGGGTGGGCTTGTGACGTCATAACAGAGGAAGGCCATCGATGAGACCCTGTTTCCCCTCTCCGCCGCATCTCGGCTGTAGTGACTTCATCAGTTTCATATTCCAAACGTCCACTATCAGACTTCTTAGCAGAGCAGTGCATTTAGGAAGCAAACAGCCAACAAAGTGTGCTTCACAGTGACAGCCCGAGGCCCCTTCACGCCCCGGAACGCAGCCGATGGGAGTCCGGCAAGGCGCTCTCCTGTCTTAGCAAGGCAGGAGTTGACGGTAATCGGGTTACTGTCTCTGCAGTTCTTGGAGTCTTGTGATGAAGTCATCTTGTTAGAAGATGGAGAGATTTGTGAGAAGGGAACCCACAAAGAGTTAATGGAGGAGAGGGGATGCTATGCAAAACTGGTTCACAACCTCCGAGGATTGCAATTCAAGGTAACCTGCTGGAACCTGGGTGTACCTGGCTGTGGGAGAGTGGGGGGCCCACCCTCCCGACTTCCGGCCTGGGAGAAGTTCTGTCAGTCGGCGTCTCATTTTGTCTCCAGGATCCTGAGCACATTTACAATGCAGCGATGGTGGAAGCCCTTAAGGAGAGCCCTGCTGACAGAGATGAAGGTGCAACCAGGGTTTGAACCCCGCCTCTCTTGTTACCTGTGGCTCGTGAGTGGACACAGACTTCTGTATTTCTCACCCTAGTTTTGGCTCCAGGAGACGAGAAGGAGGAAAGGAAAGACCCCGACACAGACTCAGCATTTGCAGACACCAACGGTATTTACCATTCGTTCCCTCAGTTACATAAATACGCGTCCCTGTTAAGCTTCCGCCATTCGGTGCCGAGGAGTGGGGCACGGGGCTTGTGCTCTGGGGCAGCTGGAATTATATGGCTCACTGGAGTGACAGCCTTGAGTTCCACTGCCTGAGTCCAAGTCCTGGCTCAACCACTTACGGCTGTTACGACTTGGCCACTCTCCCGTTGGCTACAACCTTAGTTTCCTAATCTGTAAAATGGGGATAATAGTGCCAACCTCACAGGTTCTGGCAACGATTACATAAGAAGCGGTACGTAAAACGCACAGTGCCTGACATGTAGGAACCCTCAGTAGTTGTTATTATTCATTGAAAAGATCAAAGCAATGCACAGAGATTAATTAGATTAATTAAAGCACACACAGCATTAAGAAAGGGTGGTGCAGCAGTGAAGAGATGGTGGCAGGATAAGGTCATTCATTCTTTCAACAAATAAGGACTAAGCATTTTCCTATGTGCCAGGCACTAAGCTAGTCTGAGCACAGGAGGAAAAAAATGCCCCTGTCCTGATGGTCCGGTGGGGTCACAGGCCTGTGGAGACTCATGGGGAGCTGTGATGAGAGTAATGCGGAGCTGAGGTGGGAGTACCGAGTCAGGGAGGGCTTCACAGAGGGGGCGGCCTTTGGACTGGTCCTTCGAGGACAGGTAGGAGTTTGCAGCGGAGCACTGGTGAGAGGTGAGGAACGGGGAGGGTTTGGGGTTGAGGCCGTGAGGGAACCCCAGGAAAGCAGAGAGGAGAGACATAGGAGGTGAGCCTGGCGAGGACCACGCTGCTCAGGCTGCCTCTTCACCTCCTCAGACGCTGTGGCCTTCCGTCCCTTCAGCCACTCACCATTGCTGAGCTCCGACTCTGTGCCCTGCCTGCCCTGCGTTGGCCCTGAGAGGGCAGGGACCAAACCCCACCGTCTCTTTCCTCAAAGTGTCCACAGCAAGGAGACTTTCCAAGTCAGTGTTCTCTTCCTCAATAATGTGTGGCTGAAAAAAAAAAACACCTTAGTATAGTTCATCAAATTTAAGATGCCATCCATTTTAAGATCACTTTATGTACTCCTGTACTTAGAAAGAAAAATCTCTGCCAACTAGACAATATGGCATACTACCGAATGGAAGGCATATCTGATTTCAAAGGTGTTAAAATCTGAAAAAAAAGAAGTGCCTTTGAATGGACGAGTTTGGCGCCAGCCCTGGTGCTTGTGACAAATGCATGC